TCCTTGAGTTAATAAATGAGTAAATGCACACACAACACTCACAACACAACACATGCACACCAGAGTTGGGGAAAAGATGGATGGGAAGTGAGAGGTGAAGGTTTGAGAAGAGGATAGGAAAACAGAGAGGCAGCTTTTGATTCTCTCAGGGCTCATTATTCAATTCTGAGTTATCCTGAATAAACTTACAATCTACCCCGCATTCTCTCATCGTAAAGCCTGTTTCTTGATCATTTCTTCTTCTGTTAGCTCTTGGATATTCAAGAAATGAATGCAAAATAAACTTAGTATTAAATTTTAGTAAAACAGAGCATATTTGTGATTACCGGTGTATTTCTTCCCTACTACTATATATAATGCATATAAACTAGAAATTACTTCTGGATTATATTATGCTCCAAAAATATGTATCTCATGGCCCACTTCATTCCAAGTGTGCTGAAACACAGAGATGACTAAACTGTAGACCTTTTCCTCCAGGAACTTGAGGTTTTTGGAAGTGTTGATAAATAGACACAAATGATTATTAGTCTTTACAAGAAGTATGTTTTTGTGAGTGTGGAGCAGAGCAAGAGTACATCACAATCGGGGAGCAGATCATGAGCCCCCGACAGAGGGTTATGAGAGGGACTCACTCTTTTTATGAGGTAGGGTCAGTCCTTTTATGAATTAGGGTCATCTGCTGAGAGCAGCAGAGTATTTCAGGGTGTTGGGGAGAACACCATTTCAGTAACAAACTTGGGTCCAGGCCAGGGCAAAGGAATAGAGGACAAGGTGTTTGTGATAGAATTCAACATGGTGGCACTCGGACAGTCTGGAAGCGACGGTGCTAGTCTTTCAGAGGAGTTAGACATGAAAAATGAGTGATCACTGTCACCGATGGCACCGAGGTTCCTGGTTGGGATCGAGAGCTGAACAGGACACGAGTCAGGTGCTGGCCTCCCTGCAAAGTCCAGGGATGTCCTCCCTGGAAGTTATTAATGACTCGGAGAGAGATGGGAGAATGAATTGAGGTCAAAGGTGTAATTTCCATCTGTAGCCCCATTGATGTGATAAAAGAGAAAGAATCTCTCTAACAATACTGAAATTGATGATGGGAAGTAGGTGGGAACCAGTTTGTATGTCGGTTGTAACCGCAAAAGCGGGGCAAGATGCCTGTGGCATAGACGGTTCAAATGAGCACCTTAACCAGGGCTTGTAACAGGTCGTGCTACTACTACTGCCTTGTCTGATGGTCATGAGACCACGTCCGCTACCTCATCAGCTGTGAACCCTGGATGGAATGGGCGCTTCACCTCCGAACCTCAGTTGTTGCATCATCAAAAGGGGAAAACAAAGCCTGCGTGTGCCAGACTCCCCGCCTAGCACTTCCTGTATGGAATAGTTTCTGCAACTTTTTTTTCTTCACGTGTATCTTCACATTTCCACTTTGTCTAGTATACAGGTTTTCCAGAGTTGTTTGTAAGGTGAAATTTTGAAAATAGTGTCATGTAGCAAACAATTCGGAAAAGCTGATAAAAGGGAGCCAGTGTTAAACATCATTTTATTTAATGGAGAGTCCCTTTGGAAAGCAGTTAATTATTCCTTTGCTTTATCCATTTTTTTGAGAGTAGCTCTTGCATGCTGACTAAAATGCTGAATAAAAGTATAAAATGCACCTTATAGATCCATCTAACTCTTTCATTTCATTGGGAAAAAAAACCAAATTAAGACCCAAAGGAGTTAATTTAAAACCCCAGTTGTTAGCAGAATTCAGATAAGAGCATAGATCAATGCACATGCCACTCTCCCCCCAGCCCTACAAAAGGCGTTTCAAGAGAACAGTCACATTTTCTCAGTGCTGTATGTATTTAGTGGCAGACTAGGTTAAACTTCTTCATGAATCAGCTGTTGTCTGCATTGTGCTATCTTTTGCTTTGACCTTGACCCCTTACTCTTGCTATTGTATGACCTGATATTCTGCTTTAATATTTGCTACATATCCAACTACTCCAAAACTCAGCAGCTTAGAAGAACATTTCTATTTTGCGGCAATTGTGTGGGCCAGCAGAGGGTTGGCTGGGCAGTTCCTGCTTGGCGTCTCAGGATGGCCATCATCTGAAGGCTCCGCCTTCAGAGCCTTCCAAGATGGTCCACACACATGGCTGTCAGTGAAGCCAGTTGTTGCCTGCGAGTTCTTCGGGACTGCAGGGCAGAGTGCCTGCAGGTGGCCTCTCCAGTGTGGCAGGTTCAAGGTCATTGGACCATTTACGTGGTGGCTGGCTTCTTCTCCCAGAAAGCTAGCTCTCCTGGGGAACCCGGCTGAAGATGCATAGCCTTCTCTGACCAGCACCTTGAGAGTTACAGATGACCCCTTTGTTACAGTCTTTTCGTTGTATGTAGTCATTAAGGTTGGCCAAGCCCATTCTTTTGTTGTTGTTGTCGTTGGACACCTAAGCACTTTATTTTTTTATTTTTATTTTTTAATATAATTTATTGTCCAATTGGCTAACATACAGTGTGTAAGGTATGCTCATGGATTCTGGGGTAGTTTCCCATGGTTCATCACTTACATACAACACCCAGTGCTCATCCCAGCAAATGCCCTCCTCAATGCCCATCACCCATTTTCCCCTCCCCCCACCCCCCCACCCCCCCATCCACCCTCAGTTTGTTCTCTGTATTTAAGAGTCTCTTACGGTTTGTCTCCCTCCCTCTCTGTAACTATTTTTTCCCCTTCCCTTCCCCCATGGTCTTCTGTTAAGTTTCTCAAGTTCCACATGTGTGTGAAAACATGATATCTGTCGTTCTCTGACTGACTTATTTCACTCGGAATAATACCTTCCAGTTCCATCCATGTTGCTGCAAATGGCATGATTTCATTCTAGATGGGAGAAGTGTCAGAATTTGCAGATATATTTTAAATTCGCCACATCTAACTATACACATAAGAAGTCAGGGAGAAGGGGGCAAGAAATCCAAGTCCACTTTATCTCCCTATGTGTTCTTGTCTTCCCTAGAGGAAGATGCTTCCTACGTGCGTCCTTTCATGTCAGACCCATCATGCACTGAGAATTACATCAGATTTGGTGGAGCAACTTAACATAACCAATAGAAAGTCTCTGATGTTAGGAGGTTAGGAAGCAAGAGTCATATTTCTTGTTTTATTTATTTATGTTTACACCACACTCAGAATTCGCATTATCATTACACTGTGAACCTACTGTACCACCTGTCTACTGAGCAATCATTCTGATGTTCTACAACAATTGATTTTTCTTTGGGCAAGATTACAAACCGAACGGCAGCTGCTGGATTGCATTCCTGTAGTAGAATGTGCTAAGTGGTTATACTCCCAGAAATAGGTGATTTCACTGAATGCACATTCAGAGGACACAAGGGCGAGACCCAAAGAGGGGCCTCCCCAGGCCGCTGGGGATGGTAGGCTCCTCTCACCGGTTCTTCTTCAGCATTAAGGAGTCCCAGTGTGAGCAACTCTAGGATTGCAACATCGTTCCAGAGAGAGTCCCGGTGCTTTTCTGATACAGTGAGAAAAAGATGCATTTCCTTGCCAATCTATTCTGGATTCAGTTCTTGAAAGCTGCTGGCAAGAGTTAGTTTTTCTCAGTATCAGAAACTCTTTTTCCCCACCCAGACTACACAAATGTTCATCATGCCCTTAAAATATATATCTTCACAGAAATACCCGTCTCTTCAAAGTTGGTCTCATTCTCCTGTGGTTACTTCGAAATTCAGACATTGGTAGGGGGCAGGGAGGAAGGCGGGTAGGTGCTGGAACTCCTGTCCATACAGGCATCTACAGAGGATGCCATCCCCATCTAATCTTTATATGTAATTCAAATAACCCAGTTCAGGATCCAAGGCCTTGGCATCTAAAATTCCAGTCTGTTTTCTCAGATCTTCTTATGTCCTCTCTTTCCACTGATCTGATATGGTGAGGGGCAAAAGAATGTAGGAGAATATGGGTCATTAAACCTTGCTTAACGTGAATCGTTATATACTGTGTTTTGTGACTTGTTAAAATGTCACATGCCTTCCTTCAGATGTCATTGAAGAAAATAATACATTGCCTTTTTAATTTTTTTTTTAATTTTTTAATGTTTACTTGGTTTTGAGAGAGAGAGAGAGAGAGAGTGAGCAAAAACGAGCTAAGCAGGGGAGGGGCAGAGGGAGAGGGAGACACAGAATCCGAAGCAGGCTCTTGAGCTATCAGCACAGAGCCCTGCATGTGGCTCGAACTCACGAAGAATGAGATCATAACCTGAGCTGAAGTCAGATGCTCAACCGACTGAGCCACCCAGGCGCCCCTACATTGCCCTTTTAAAAATAAACTTACAGTTAATATAATTTCATTTGTTAGGTAAACTGAGTTAATTTTCTATAAATTCATCTTCAGTTACATGTGAGAAAAACATTATTTTAGTGTCTGCCTCACATAAATAGCAGAGATTGTTATACATGTGTATAAATTGTAGTTTTGGTGAACTTTGTTTCCCCTCAACCACATTGTATTATTGGGGGTGAGAGAGCTATTTTTTTTAAGATTTTTAACTTTTTTATTTTTGAGAGAGAAAGCATGCTCACAAGCAGGGGAGGGGTAGAGGGAGAGAGAGAGAGAGAGAGAGAGACAGAGAGAGAGAGAGAGAGAGAGAGAGAGAATCTTAAGCAGGCTCTACACCCAGCGCGGAGCCCAATGTGGGGCTCAATCCCACCACCCTGGGATCTTGACCTGAGCCGAAATCAAGAGTCAGACGCTCAACTGACCGAGCCATCCAGGCGCCCCTGGGGTGAGAGAGTTCTGTGGGAGAATATTAAGCCCCTTCCTTCTCTTTCATTGAGCAAGTGTTAAGGGAGGATCTGTTATGTACTTAGTACTTCTTACTGACTAAATCCAGTGCATTCTTTATTTTGGATATCCTGTGGGTCCATGCAGTTGAAATCAAAGGGAATCAGCTCAATCATCATAAAATATCACTGACAATACTTTTTTTCCTCCCTAGTGTCTATCAAGTAGTTGTTGAGGAAGAACGACCTCGAAGAACTAAAAAGACAACCGAAATCTTAAAGTGTTACCCCGTGCCAATTCACTTCCAGAATGCATCAATTCTGAACTCACAGTATTACTTTGCTGCAGAATTCCCAGCAAACAGTCTCCAAGCTGCTCAGCCTTTTACTATTGGTGATAATAAGACATACAACGGATACTGGAACACTCCCCTTCTCCCCCATAAAAGCTACAGAATTTATTTCCAAGCTGCTAGTAGAGCCAATGGGGTAAGTTTTATAGCTGGCTGTTTACCTAGGCTATTTAGGGTTATTAATGTGAACATAGATTAAGGACGATAGTGGTAAGAAATAAAGTCATGCTTTTGTGTGTGTGTTTACTTGGAACAAATGTACGTGGTTTTTTTTTCTTTGTAAACTTATTTTCACCTAGAGAAATTTATGGAAGGAAATGAATAAATCGGTATTTGTTTTGGTAGGGAGAATATGTTGTCAGCGTGATGGTTTTTATTTTCAGTTTTTACTTGGTACCAAAAGTTGGCTAGCAATTCTGCTTCGCTTACTATTTTACAGGGAAGTAGTATAGCTACAACACATACATTCAGCTCATTTAAAATTTTGTGAGATACACAACATCTGTCTTTCTAGCATCTTCTGTCCCATTTCTTTGGTTTCAGAAGAGTTTATGCTTCCTATTGCTGTAACTAAATTAGGTATCTTTTTTTTTTTTTTTGAGAGAGAGAGAGAGAGAGAGAGAGAAAGCAGCTTTAGAAAGATTAGATGAAAGCAAAATAAAAACTATGGAGTCGTTCCTGAATTCTTTCCCCCTTTCTGTTCAGACCGACCCAGAACTCTGGTAAGATATTAAAATCTCCTTAGAAAGAAATGGGAGTTTTCTGGACACCATGATGGTTTCCCTCCTTCACAGCATGGGTCTAAGTATCATTGACTCGACTTTTGCCAGTGAAAAGGGGGGAAATCCAGGACCCAGAGTTCTTCTCCAGTAGTATCTGCACAGAGTGAGCAAGGGTCTGGAGAAGACAGGGCCCCCAGGCAGAGACATTGTGTGTGTAGCTCCTCATTTGTCACCCGCTCCAGAAATGCCCATGGCCACCAGCTCCAGAGCCAGAAAATGTATCTGAGCATGGTACAAGGTGTGATCATCGTGTGAGCATGTATCTAAGTGCAATTCATCATTGTGTGATTAACACCACACTCGGAACAATGAGCTCTTTTCTTATCAGCATTTAAATAGAACTACAGATATTTTTATTTGTTTTAAATAAAGCACGAATAGTGACTTTTTCCCCCCTCTTTATTTGACACAGGAAACCAAAATAGACTGTGTCCGAGTGGCCACAAAAGGTAGGTTGAAATTGTGGGATGCTCTCCCAGTTTATGTCCTTTAAATTTTTAGATGGTATTTCAGAACTTCTTGTAAGGTTAACTTCATTGAAATAAGCATGTCTATCTGTGGGTACATGTATTAGAGTCTTAGCAGTTAATACTATTTCATGCCAATACTTTTTTTAAATAAGGAGTCGTGTTACTGCGTTCCAAGGAGTTTTCAGTGGTTAGCCTTTTCGAAATTCTTTAAAATAAAATTAATGTTTATGTGCTTTCGGTACATGTTTTTTAAACCATAGTAGCATATGCAGTAGTCCTGTGACTAATGAATCTTCATATGCAAAGTACGAAAATACTGCCTGCTGTTTTTAAGCAAGTACCTAGTGATAAGAGCTCTCCCAAATGGAGTCTGCATGGGCTTTTTTCACGGAACACGGGGCAATTAAACCCAGTAACTGGGTGATTTTAGTGGAATTTCTGTTTCCCAGGCCTGGTTAAAATCCTGGGAAAATGTGATCAAGGACAAGATGTAGAAGTGGCTGGGGTTGAACCGTCATAAGCTCACCACACACAGCCTCCTAAAGAACCAAGTACGGTTGTATGTGCACACACGAGCTGTGATGTCATCTTGTTCACCTTGGAGTGTGATCTTAACCAGGGCATGGGAAATGTATGAGACAATGCTTTGAGAAATATAAAATCCCACATTAAAATGAGGCATTATAAATTAACACCTGTAGTTAAGTATACCCTCTGAGACCATCACAAGTGACCCATGACCATGAACTTATCATGTGTGACTCAATTTAGAAATGACGGCACGAAGGCATCCTTGGGTCTGTCACACTAGATGTAGTCAGGCCAGAGACAGTCACCTGAGTTCTGTTGGGTAGAAATACCTTGTTATTTCATTGTTTCCCTTGCAGGGAGTATAGTTTGATATATCATGGACATCCATCTGCATGTTCAAAATTCACATTGAATTCTAATTTCATGAAGATCCAGGACCTTTTTATTCCATTAGCTCCACAAATATTTCTTGGTTTCATGGTCTGTGCCAAACACTGCCAGGTGCTCATGGGCTCATGTTCTAGTTCTAAGAATCTATTTGTCTTGATTTTGAAACATTTGGTTTTGTAGTATCATATTTGTCTTGATTAAGTGCCTTTATTTCTAGGGATAAATTAACAATAAATGAAATTACAGAGATTGGTGTATTTCATAAACTGTAATATGATCTTAGCTATTAATTACTAAGGATTATGAAGCCCTTGAATGAGGTATCAATGCTCTTAGGCCTCCATCCAGACCACCACCGTGCTCCAGTTGTTGTACTGAATTCGCCTTACCTTCAAGGTCTGAAAGAGTAAATCCGCTTCCGCAGTGCCTAATTTATAATGCCTTCCACTGAAATCGCAGCTAAAATGTTTGAAAGCACTTTCATACCTGTCTCACCTAGTTCTTCACCATTACTGTGAGAAAGGAGGCAGGTATTTCTGTTTTTATTTTTTAAATGAAGAAAATGCATATTTCTAGAGGTGAATTGACTTACCAGGGTCACTCAGCTGATAATCTGTGGGTCAAGGCTTAATCCCGAACCTTTGAACTCCTACCCACAGTGTTTCCTCTGTATTTCACGGCTTTTCACCCAGCAGATCCTCAGACCAACTATAGTATTGCATTGTATAAGTATCTGCTCTCCCCTTTATTAAAATTGAGTCCCTGCCTAATTCACTCTGAAAGCAATGAAATTTGTCATCACGTTCATTTACATAGCTAAATAATTATATAAATAACACCCTCGTAGATATGGAAATCTGACGTTGGCTGTTTTCACAATAGATTGAATTAGATGGTGATTTGGATCATTTTCTTCCATCAGCTAGATTTAATCAATATTGTAATTTGTTTTTCAATTCACCAAAGGATGATTAGGCAATCGGATGACCTGATTGACTGAATATTCCCCACTCATATTTTCTAAGTCATTTGCAAACGTTTATTTAGCCACAAACTCTATCCAAATAAACTCTATTGGGGAAAGAGGGAAACCAGTGTTAATAGTCATTATGTAACATTGTCCTTCCATTCGTAAAAGCTTAGTATAGGAGGTAACCTTGGGAGATATTCTCCTTGCAGGTTAAATCTGCACTGTCTGGTCTTATTTTATTCTATTATGTTCTACGTGTACAGATTCAGTGAACTTCCTTTATAGCGCAGTCTAATGTTTCACCACTGCTACAGTCAGATAATTTTTCTTTATTCATGCTAAAAGCTCTTTCAGTGGTGCAGGAAGCCATTCCATCTTGACTACGTAGTCAAAACAGAGAAATAGGCAGTTCTAATAACTTTATTGGTTCCCTGCAGGAAGGATGCTTGCAATTGAAAAAAGTTCAAACTTTCTGTGTTTTGGCCACATATTGCTGACAGTGTGGTGGCTTAATTGCATTTTCAAGCACGAAGCCACACTCCTAAGCAGCGTTTTGAATTTACAGAGATGTTGATGTTCTCATGAAACAACTGTTGACAAGTATCTTTATAGAGAAAGTATGGAGGTGGATTTGTTTTCACAGGAAGCTAGTTTGTAATTTCAAGTATGGGTATGTCTCTTAAATATATATTTCATACTCTTTATAAATTTAATGTTGTGATTATTTTAATCCTATTCCAAGGGTATATTTTGACACTAATATAAAGCCTTATAAAAATTAGACATGGGGGAAAAACCCAAGGTATGTTCTTACCTATCTCCAAATGTGTGGGGGATTGCCTGTATTTTCCTGTATCCTTTCATTTATATATCTAGATTCCTCATAGGTATATGTGACTGTATTTTGATTGTTGGCTATAGGCAAACTCATAACAGAATATTCTGTCTCTTCAGTTAAAAGATAAAGACACCATACAGCTATAGGATATGCATAATGTTTGGATGTTACCCTCAACCTGTATGGTGGAGTTAACAGAATAGCTTTTAACTGTTTTTAGATCCTCTTAGTTTTATTTTGATTTTTAATCACATTCACATTTTTATAGTTGGATTCTTTTCAAGACCACCTGGTCCGACTGTGTCTTAGCAGTTAGTATATGGGTTTTCTTTGACTTTTGCATACCTAACGGCTGCCTCGCGGTCAGTAGAAGGGCTAAAACTCCTTTTATGCTAGTTCTGGAAGGCCTTGTTGATTATCAATTCTAAATGGACAGGATACACTTAAATATCAAAACCTTTCTTGTTAGTAAATTAGATTTCTCATATTAAATGAGGCACATTCTTTCTAATTGATACAGTAATCAATTTAAACGGCATATTTTGCATCGATCTTCCATACAATAATATTTTCCATAACACGATGCCAGTAATCTTTCTCCTAGACAGTGTAGTCATTTGGCATCTTCCTTGTTACACATTCATTTTAAAACATTTGTGAGCGCCTACTAAAAGTTAGGCATAGTATAATCTGTGAGACTTCTTAGGTACATAAATATATCACTTTTAAGTTTTTGAGGATTTTGAGTTTGTAAACGTTTGGGGTTTTTTTTGTTGTTATTGTCTGTTTGTTTTTAGTGCATGGGGGCTGGAGTCAGATGTGTGTACTTACTCCTTTCTTTGCTATGATTTGGCTGACGGTAGGGTAACTAGAAATCAAAACAAAAACCTCATGAAAACGCATGCTAAATTCTTTCCAAAAGCATTATAGGAGTTACACTGTAAGTCTTAAACAGAAAGAATACAAACTATTATTCTAGTGTCATATTTTAAGGTGAATTTTTTGTGCAAAATACGCTTCACTGTTTTTAAGCTCGGTAATTTATTTAACTTACATTTGTACTCCAATGCGCATATACTTTGCTGGAAGACCTTCAGAAAACTTTGAAGGACTTCCATTGTCCCAATACAGTTTCTAACTAGACTCAGAAATTTGAATGTTTCTTTTTGTAATCACTAGGCTCTTTGAGAAGTTTCTCTACACTGTTTTCCTGTTCACGGTTTTGTTCAAAGAAATACCATCGTTTCTAGGCCACAATGCTCACAGAACGAAAGCACACTGATAAAAGAGCTGAAAAGAATGTTGACATGCACAGCTAATTAAGATTCCTTTTAATTGTTCATATTCAATACACGAGAAAACAAATTACATAGTAAGACCACTCATCTATGCAAATCTGCTATCATTTAGCTATGGATTTAGAAATAGAAATATAGATATGATCTACATTTGTCATTCAACATTTTAGAGAGAAAGTATTTTCTTTGCTTGATCTGAAATGGTCTTCCTAATATACATCATGAATATAGCCAGGCCCCGAGAAGTTACCAAGGAAAAGAAACCTGTTTAACTTTGTTCAACGCTATGTTTCCCAAATATTTGACCCAAACTCAATTTTCCAAGGAACACGAATGTCACGCAAAAGAGTTTGGTAAATACTGGTTCATCAAATTCCACAAGACCCCACTGCATGCAACTGAAATGGTACTTTGTAAGTCTGATATACTTTTTACTCTTCCATACATACTTTTGGACCCAAAAGAGACCCTGAATTTATCAACTATTAGATACTGTCTTCATAGCATAGGATTGGAATATCTGACTTTATTTTACCAAATTTCGCAATATTCTCCTTCGTAATACAATGTAATTGACCTTTTAAGACAGAGGGTAGCAAATTTTTATGTAAAGGGAAGATGGTAAATATGTTAGGCTCTGTGAGCCATGTGATTTCTGCCACAGCTACTCAGCTCTACCATTGCTGTGCAAGAGCAGCTGTGGGTGATGTGTGCACAATTAAGTCTGACTGTGTTCCAATAAAACTTTATTTGCAAAAGTAGGCAGTGGCCTGGCTGACTCCTATTTTAAGGAAATTTGTAGCAGACTCAAGTTTTGTCCTTGTAACTAAAAATAATAGTCACAAATGAACACTTTACCATGCAGAACCTAGAGATCATATAAAAATCCCTCCTGATACCTATCATGTACTTTTTCTATGGGGGCTTTGAGCCTCTGACTGCAATTTGCCCTTCATTTAGTTGTGAAGACATGGCTGCCCAACCTCGCCATTTTCAAGTAACTTTGCATCCATGTTGTTTACCTTTTTCAGTATTGGATAGGTGCTCTGTTTCTGATAAGACAATATAGTTTTTTCTCAAAAAGCAGAGTAGGTCACATTCTCCTGTGAGTAACAGGACACCACACAGGAACTTTGGTTGAACAACAGTCTGTGACCCAGCAAATGTTTTATGTATAAACTTGGTACCGACCCTGTAACAAGGCTTAGAAATAACATTTTACTGTTTACAGTGTGCCATCTCAGTATGCAAAACTGCATACTCTATCCTATCGAGAAAATTATCTCCGTAGTACCCTGGGGTTTCTCCACTTTCTGACCCAACTGGTAGTTTATTCATCTCACTTAGCAAGACTAGAAAGTTTTCATTAATAACGTGTGAAAGACGATTATCCCACTCTTGAACCCAGTTGCTACAATTGTCTAGTTACAAGAAGCAGCACCGTTTGAATGGTGCAGAGGGATATTTCAAAATATTATGCAGCAGCAGTTTTGGGTTTAATTGTCTGCAGATGGTAGATGATCTATTTTCCTTACTCGCTGCCACATTTCTAATAGCACCCAGGCTGTTCCATGTAAATTAGTAATCTTTCATGTAAGCCTGTCCTTAATTTTCCAATATTTTTTCTTTGCATCATTTTCCAGCTGTATCATGTTAGAATTGACGTTTTAATTTTCTATTTTTTTCCCCGATATCTGTGTGTCATGAATGTTAACCATTTAAACACAACTGCTGAGCTGTGCAGCCAAACCAAGAAGCTCGACTGGTCTGCCTCCAGAATCTTAATCGTGTCTGTGGTCACATGTTAACCATGACGACTACAGCAGGCAGTTACTAGTTTTTGGTTTTTGAACCGACCAATGCTTTGAGGTGCATTTTTCCCCAGTCCCTTAATGTGACAAAATAAGGTTCCTAAATGGAAACATTCTCTGCGAAATTTAGTTATCAGAGAAATCCCTCTGTAGAAAAATGTCTCTAATGAAAGAAGATCATGTTCTCCACAAAGGTGATTTTAGCAAGAAGAGAAAATATTGTGACTTCAGCAGCAGAATTTTAAGTAACCTAATAAATTTTAAAAGCCTAAAGTTTGGATCATCAGAATTAGCAGCGAATCACTTATACACCACACTCAACAGCACTTGGAAACACTGTTCGGTCTAGAGCCTTATTTAGAGCGTATGTTTTGTTTTTACTACCCGCCCCCTCCACCCCACATCTTCGGTTGACCTACCCAAAATATCAGCCAAAGCTTGCAACTGTGTCATAGTTAGAAATCTAACTGCCTGACAAAAACTTGTTTAAGGGAAAAGAATCCAGAAAATTCAACACTTTGCTATGTTTTTTTTTTCTTTTTTCTTTTCTTCTCTTTTTGTTGTTGTTGGAACAAAGTTGAGACAATGTGATATACTGATCGAGATTCTCCTTGCTAGCCTAGCTTCAGTCTGGCTTTTTCTTCCCTCATGCATGCTGACCTGGGAATCTTCCTTTGCCATAGCTGCGATAATCGTGACTCAGCTTACAACACCTTACATTCGCATCGCCCCTGCCGCAGGCGACGACCAGCTGACAGGTCAGATGTTCAAGTATAGATGAGTCATCTTGCCCATTTCCTGCTCATTTTTCTCAGCTTTGTTTCCCCTCTACATTTCCTCCTCTGCTTAAGGCTTGTTTACAATGTGTCAGGCTCTTGGTACAGACCTGTGCCCGCATTAAATGAAGTGATGTGCTTGGCCTCTTCTGTGTGTGCACATTGATACCCATGCATTAAGCACAACGCCACTGCATGTTCTCATTGTGTGTTTGTCTGTCGGTGTGTTCCTTTCCAGCCTAATGTTGTACAGAATGAAATTTGCTGGACTTGTGATAGCAATGCCATCAAACAGGATTTCCATCAGAGTACATAAAGATGTATGCCCAGTTATGCAGATTCACCTAGAAAGGCCCTGTGGTGTCAGGGTGAGCGAGCTTTACTTCCCACCTCATAGGGTCTCATGTGCACGCGCACGGAGCCATACACAGTCCTGAGATGAAGCCACCCAGAGCCGTTTGGGTTGACGCTGTTCAAACAGCTTTGTGTGTACGTACAACTGGAGCAGAGCTGTCTACGTTCCTTATAGAGCCTTGTTTCGAAGTGTTTATATAGAGCAGTGGTACATCTGCCAGTCAAATGCATTGAATAATTTAGGGAAGTTTTTAGAAAATCGAATGGCTTAGAGTCATGGAGTTAAACTGTGTGCTTCTATATAGAAGAAGCAGCACACAGAAAGAGAACGTAGCCAAGAGAAATTAGCTTGTCCGTTCCGTACTCTCTCTAAAGGTGTATGGACATCAGCATAAACTCCTGTAGGAAAAGAGTCCAGTAAATGACTCCAGATGGAAGGTGAGTGGTCAGAGAACCCCAGGAGACAAATTTTTGTCCTGCAGTAAAAGCAAGCCATTGTCAAGATTTCTAACATAATTGCGTGGGCAGGATTCAAATTCTGGTTTCAGAGACATCATCAACATTGTAGTTTATGGCATGTAGTATAGGCATGGTTAAAACTCAGCTGTTTTCCATAGAATTTCCACTCCAGCAATTGTTTTGAGTGTATGAAACAAGGGAATATACTCTAACATTTAAGAAAGTAAAAAAGTATAGCTCAACTCATTGTAAGAATTCACAAATGTTTACGTTGTCCTGTGAGCTTGTTATTTTGGAAAAATAAAAGCAACTGAGACTCAGCAAATTCACAGACTGATTTTTGGAAGGTAACGAAATGGAGGCTAATTCTACTTCTTTCCCTACTGGAATTCCACACATATTTTCAGTCCTCTGTTTCGGGGCCTAAAAGCTATAAGGTTATTATTGATAGTTCTGCTTCTCTTTGTTTTCAAGGTTCTTCTAAGCATATTTCTTTTACGGGTTGAAGTTCTGCTTCTTACAGACCCTTTCTTATCCTGAACTTCTGAAGTTCTCTTCCCAACAGTAGAAATACTTATGGAGTAGTGTAGCATCTTTCTTAAGTCCTCTGTTTTAAAACCTTCGTATTTAAGGACTGGCCCATGGCCCATGGTCGGGTTAGGTGTCCATCTTGAAAGTAACCTTCAAGTCTGACTACCAGCTGAGTCTGAACTGGCCCTATGGTTGTAGCAAACCAATAAAAATGGCCCCACTATCCGAAAACAAGTGCTTATGGGCAATGTAGTTCAATAGCCCCCTTCTAAGGCTTTAGCTGTATCTACAACCTTCATATTAAGCATGCTGTTTACTAGGCAGTGAAGTAAGTGAAACTTCTGAACATAGATTTCTCTCCAAAACTTGCATAAGTAAGAAGATAGCTCATAAATCAGCCTCCTTCACAGTGCTTTCAGATCCCGGGTATCTTGTTATTTGGGAACTAGTCTGTGAAGGACACATACATTGCTCGAGTGTATGGCCGCCATTCTTTTAAGGGCTGCAGGCGATCTCCATCATTTACTTTGGTTTATTAGGGATTAAAATGATGGAGTGTTAGAATAAGCCTCAAAAAAAAAAAAAA